CTTTTTTGACAGCCGGCGGCCGGTCTTGCAGCGCCAGTCGTCCATCACGCAGACCATCAAGAGGTGAGCCCCAGTGCGTTTGATTGACACACTTGTGTGAGGGAAAAAAACTTTTTACCTTTTCCTTTGTTTCCTTCTTTTGATGCAAATTGCATGGCTGGTCATCTTGACCTTCCCCGCGTACTAACACGTGATCGACAAATGCGTCTACAATAGACTTTCTGTACCCCTGTAAGCCATTTATTTTGAACAACCAAGAATTTGACCTTGGCTGACCTACATCATCAGGGAGGTAAATTGCTTGAATTCGATTTCCTGCTTTAAACGTCTGCTCGGCGCCCCCCCCCCGCTCGATGATTCCCATCGCTGCACTCTTGCTTCTCACTGCCCGTTCTCTTCTCTCTGTTTCCTTCTCCTTCTTCTTCCCTCCGCACCTTCCTCCTGCCCGGCGACAGCAGCAGGAGGGTTCACTTTGAGCGGATTAACACGGTGCCCGTTAAGGGCCAGCGAGCTGCCCGCCGCAGCACCAGGAAGCACCACTCGCTCTCCAGAACCCTGCTCAGGTATGCAGGTGTAAAAGCCCCCCCCCGCTTGTCAGAGAGCACACGGCGCTGGATGTGCGCTTCGATTTTGTCCTTGCTGGTTTGGTTTTTAACAATCACTGCGCACCGCCACCAAGCCACATTTGTTTCACGTAAGGAGGAATCATCTTTTCTAAATTGGAGGAATATTTTGGGGTTGATTGGTTAGCAAATATTGCAGGGGGTGAGCAAACTTTTGTTCTCGAGGGCCAAAATGGACCTTTTTTAATTGGTCAAATGGGTTAAATTAGTAAATAAATTTACACCAAATAAAATGTGTTTGTCAAATATTTGTTTATTTATGATATGTATTTATTTAACCAGTTCATGCACCCTGTAGGCTGATAACATGATCAGCTGTCCACCGTAGTAACCGCTGTCCCTCAAAGGGTTAATAATAATAATAATAATAATAATATTAATAATGATATTAATAAGAATAATAATTCATTCTCATTTTTAATTTTGCGTTTTTGTCACTTTAATATAATGAAGTAAACAATTCTTGAATCAAATATGACCAACCGTGATGTTTGGTTTCTGTGAAAATGTTTCTTGTCTTCATATTTTATGATGTTAACCTTGACCAAAAAAAAAAAAAAAAAAAAAGATGTGATGGGCCAGTTTTTTTTTGGGGGGGGGGGCAAAAATTCCAGGACTAATACGATGAATAATTAATTACATAAATTAAAAAAAAATACTTTGCTTACCTCTGACATACACTGCGTGCATGCGGGTGCGCAAAAGTACCTATGTGGGTGTGTGGGTCTGTGGGTGTGCGACATGCTATCCTTCCGCGCACAAACATGCCCAGACGTGTTCCCTCACACATTTATTATGACATCTGGGGGAAGTGTCGTCCTGTTCGCCTTAATGTTCTTATCTTATCACGAATGCCGCACTTGTTTGTAACCGTGAGACTGAATGCCGGCTGCTCGTGGCGCCAGGGGCACGGCCGACTGGTTCGGGGTGAGCAAGGATGGCGACGCCACGCAAAAATGGCAGCGCAAGAGCCTCCGCCACTGCAGCCTGCGTTACGGCAAGCTCAAGCCACAGGTGATTCGCGAGATGGACCTGCCGAGCCAGGACAACATCTCGCTCGCCAGCACCGAGACGCCGCCTCCGCTGTATGTGCCCTCCTCCTCGCATGGCATGCAGAAGGTAAAAAAAACAAAACAAAAACAAAGCATTGCTGCTTCTCTTCAATGCAGTTGAACATCAAAGGCAAAACACGATCAAGGTCAAACTGCCTCCATCATGAAACTTAGAGTAACTGTTCAGGCACGTTAACCTTAACTCTCATACAAATAACTTAACAGTATTCACATACTGGCTGAAAGTAACCCCAACTCACTGGTGCTTTTTCTCCCACCACATGAATGAGCATCATTGGCTCTCTCACTTCAAAATAATTTTTCCCAAAAAAAAGGCTTCAAGCCATTTGATGCCACTCACAGTTGAAGGTCCCGGTCAAAGTAAACATCAAACAAAGAGTTGGACACGTTGTGTATTGAAAATACCCTGACGACTGCCAAAAGAAAGGCCCAGCTAGCTTCATTCTAACACAGTCTAAAACACCATTGACATGTTAACAGTTACTTTTGAGAGGATTTGTTCAAATAATACAAAAAAAAAAAAGATATATTTTTTATTATTTTTAAAATAATTATAAACTCCCCTCACTCACCCCAAAAATTACGAGTACTCGTCTTATTTGGAAGCCGTACCCGATTTCGGTTGAAAAAAGTCGGAAGTAATCACTTAATATGGGTATGGTGTTTGTGATCATGCTGCGCAATTGGATTTGGCAAAATCTACTTTCTGTCCTAATTATAATGAGAACAGTGAATTGAATTTGGATTGCACCTTTCTTAACGCCCCCCTCCCGCTCCCCCCATGACAACTTTGCGACAAAGCCGTGTTTCATTGTTGGATGTGGCGGCCATTTTGGGCGAGCTGTAACCACGGTGACCGTAAACGGTACAAAAATGTGAAATGGCAAAAGCCTTGTACAGTGGGTTACTCGTGAACATACTCTGTTATTTCTTCATAATACATTATGTATTCACTTCTTTCTATATTGTACAGTATTTTTAACTTCACGTTACTGACAAAAAAAGTCACTATCACTTTTTTGTTCAAGACCTGGAATGGAAACATGACTTCCATTTGTGAATGTTTGGGTTCATGAATGAATTCATGCAGCAAATAAAATTCATAATCTAAGGTAGTTTTGTCAATTTTTTTTTTATTTTTAAGCATCATGGTGATGTTCAAACTGTGCCTAATGTTACAGTGGCTAGCGATCGAATGTGCTACTGTATTTTAATGTTGCCATGATGAGGGTCTGTTGACAGCTATTTAACAAAATTTTTTTTGGGTGATACTTGATGCGAAAAGTTCTAAAAGCACTTCCTTACAGGTTCCACTGTATTGATTGTTTGGTGTAAAAAGTTGCCCGCCGGCCATAGCTGAAGCTGATTGTTGCCCTAGATCGTCGACCCGCTGGCTCGCGGTCGGGCCTTCCGCATGGTGGAGGAGGTGGATGGCTACAGCGTACCGCAGACGCCCATCACACCCGGGGCAGCGTCGCTCTGCTCCTTCACCAGCTCGCGCTCGGGCCTCAACCGGATACCCCGCCGACGCAAGAGGGAGTCGGTGGCCAAGATGAGCTTCAGGGCGGCGGCGGCGCTCGTCAAGGTGAGCTGAGAGTTTTGAGACACTTTATTAGGAACACCTTCTAATCTTGTCCCAAACTGGTTTATCGCGTCTGCCTAAGCCAGGGGTATCAAACTCATTTTTGTCGCGGGCCACGTTGGCGTTACGTCTTCCCGTGGAGGGCCATTATGACAGTGAAACCACAAAAATGTTTCATCGTCTGATCGCATTATTACTTGTACACAAAAAACAAAAATGGATTACTAGTTTTGAAATCAGTCAACTTTAATAGTTTGTTCAATTATTGTTCCAATGAGTGTAAAGTGGATAACAATATTATTGCAAAATCTCCACCTTATTTATGACACATGATAATTTGACATTTCGATACAGTTTTTAGCAAAGGATTATGCAAGTTGACACACACGATTTGCTTTCACGGGCCACATAAAATGACGTGGCGGGCCCGATTTGGCCCCCGGGCCTTGGGTTTGACACCTGTGTCCTAAGCGATCAACTGGTGCGTTGCAAGCCCAAAATGGGAGCCATTAAGATTATTTAGAATATTGAGCTATATAGCTCGAAAATAAATTCACATATGGACACCTGCTTATTTTTTAAGGTGATTTAAGGATATTTCAATTCTTCTATTGTTATTTGTGCATTAGATTAGTTGACTACAAGTTTTTATGACTATTTTGGAAAAAAAATATTTTGAAAAAAAAATCCCGATTAGATTTTTGAAAAATCGTTCCGCCCTAATCTAGACCAAAATTTTGAAGCCATTTGAGTTCAGGTGTATTTCACAAAGAGCGCTTATCCGTGCGATGTGCTCCTTTAGGGGCGCTCCATACGGGACGGAACCCTGCGACGGACCCAAAGACGCAGCTTCACCCCTGCCAGCTTCATGGAGGAAGACATCGACTTTCCCGATGAGCTGGACACGTCCTTCTTTGCCCGAGTAAGTCCGTCTAAAAGGACGACCACCGCCACATGCGCTTTGTATTTGCGCCTGTCAAAGTATTTTCTTTCCTTAGGATGTTCTGATGCACGATGAGCTGTCCACGTTTGCGGACGAGGTGTTTGAGTCGCCGTCGGAGGCGGCGATGAAAGAGGCCGAGCATGGCGACAAGGATGAGATCGAGTTGACGGGAAGTGCGCTGGATAAAACGGCGCTGGAGAGGAGTCACCTGATGCTGTGAGTCCGCCGCCTGTAGATGGCGCTGCGCTAGAGGAATTCTCAAGCTAGGTGTCAATTGTGTGGATTTTTTTGTTCCCCCCCAAAAAATGATTTAAAAAAAAAAAAAGTCTTGAGTTTTGCAAAATTTTGATGGTCAAAGATACGATAAATCTTAAATTGATCTTGGATTTTAATGTTTAAAAATTTTGGGTTATGCCATTGACAATTGAATTTATTAGACTTAAATAAATATTTTGTTTTGTTCCAATATTGCATGCTCACAATTTTTTTATTTATTCATTTCTTTTCAAATTTTGTAAAGACTTTTTTTCATATTTTGCATATGAATGAAAATAAGTATCCATTTTTTTCCCCCAAAATAGTTTTTTGAATTTTTGTTTTTAATCTTACTTCAATAATTGTTTGGTTACAGATGTTGGCCAATTTCAAAGTTATTTGTTTTGTATTATCAATTTATTTTAAATTCTGATTTTATGATCATTGATTGCATGACAAAATATTTATTTTAAAAATTGTATTTATTTCATTTTGTTCCTTTGTGCGGGCTATATAGGAGGATATTTCGAATTTTTTTTTTCTTAGGTAAAAATAAATATTGAGAATAGAAAATACATCTACAAGCTCTCTCCGATGAATTCAAAAGGTTTTTATTATGATGTATTTTTAACCATGTGTTGCATACGTAAACCACTACCGTGAGATCCAAAATACATAAAAAAAAAAAAAAAACAAGTCCAAAAAGTGCATAACGTCTCTTAAAATATTTGAAGTAAAGCGCTTTTCAAATGTGATCAACGTTCTGTCTTTTGTGGCCACGTGACGGCGCGTAGACCTTTGGAGCGAGGGTGGCGTAAAGCCAAAGAGGGCGCGCCGGGCCCGCCCAAGGTGCCCTTGCGTCAGGAGGTGGTGAGCGTCAGCGGGCAGCGGCGCGGCCAGCGCATCGCCGTACCCGTCAAGAAGCTATTCGCCCGCGAGAAGAGGCCTTACGGGCTGGGCATGGTGGGCAAGCTGACCAACCGCGTGTACCGCAAGCGCATCGACAGCTACGTTAAGAGGCAGATCGAGGACATGGACGACCACAGGTGCTCATTAGATTGTACATAAAAACTCGTCATAAACTGTTTCTTGAGTCTACATTTTTTTAATCTCTCCTCCCTCCCACCCTGCAGGCCTTTTTTTACCTACTGGATCACCTTCGTCCACATGCTCATCACCATCCTGGCCGTGTGCATCTACGGCATCGCGCCGGTGGGCTTCTCCCAGCACGAGACGGTTGATTCTGTGCGTGTCGCACGCTTGGCTTTTTCGGGCATCTTCACGATGCCGCTGTGACGCGAGAGCTTTGACGGGTTTGGTCTTTTGTTTTTTTTTTTGCGGTGTGGCCAGGTTTTAAGAAACAAAGGTGTGTACGAAAATGTCAAGTTTGTACAGCAGGAGAACTTCTGGATCGGGCCGAGCTCGGTAAGCGCACGCCCGAGCGTGGAAATGTACGATTTAAACGCCGCGTAGCGCAAACTTTCTCGTTGCCCTTATAGGAGGCACTGATCCACCTGGGGGCCAAATACTCTCCATGCATGCGGCAGGACAAACAAGTGCATGAGTTCATCAGGGAAAAACGAGACATCGAACGCAACTCGGCGTGCTGCGTGCGCAACGATCGCTCGGGCTGCGTCCAGACCTCGGAAGAGCAGTGCTCGGTCCGTATAGCGCCGTCTTTTATGAGTTCGCCGTCGCAAGCGTGACTGATTCTGACTCGTCCGTTCCGTGTCGCAGAGCACTCTGGCCGTGTGGGTGAAGTGGCCGCGGCATTCCAGCACGCCTCACCTAAACGGGAAAGCCAGACAATACGGCTCCGTGTGCCATCAAGACCCGAGGTAGGCATCCCGAAGCGCACTTTGGCGCGCCGTTAAGCACACGCGCAGGCTACTAACGGCTGGGTTGTCCCTGTCAGGACATGTCTGGAGCCTGCCTCGGTCCCGCCGCACGAGTGGCCCGACGACATCACCAAGTGGCCAGTGAGTGGAAATGTTTTTTTTTTCTACATGAAACAAGATTTTTTTGAATTTTTTGGAATTTTTTTTTTTTAATCTTCTCACAAATGTGATTGTCTACTGTTAGATTTGCACCAGGTCAAACACAGGGAACCACACCAACCTGCCTCACATTGACTGCACCATCACGGGCCGACCCTGCTGCATCGGAACCAAAGGGAGGTAAGGAAACTTTTAATTATTATTATTATTTTTTTTATTTATTTATTTTTTTAATCAATTCAAAATTTCTGGATGACCTTCGACTTGACGTTTTCTTGTTCAAGATGTGAAATCACATCCCGGGAATATTGTGACTTCATGAATGGCTTCTTCCACGAGGAAGCCACTCTCTGCTCCCAAGTAAGCTCCGTGTTGCAAGCGTGAGTTTTTGGGGTTTTTTTTCTAAGCAGGATTTCAATCTCGGTGTTCCATCTTGCAGGTGCATTGTATGGATGACGTAGTTTTTTTTTTCTTCTAAGCAGGATTTCAATCTCGCTGTTCCATCTTGCAGGTGCATTGTATGGATGACGTATGTGGACTGCTGCCTTTCCTCAACCCTGAAGTCCCGGATCAGTTTTACAGACTCTGGCTGTCACTTTTCCTGCATGCGGGGTGAGTCTTTGCGGAATCGAGATGCGCTCTGTTGTCAAAACGACGCTGGCTTTCGGAACACTTGTTTGCATGTTGGGGCAGTCTTCATCAAGAGGAACTGGGAAAATGCTTATGCGGTTTCACCGAGCTGTATTTTTCCCCAAAACTAAAAATGAAGGGATGAATTAAAGAATGAGAATTATTTGATAGGGAATCTAAAGTAGTACATTTTTTCTTCTCTCTAATTGGAAGCTCCATGCATTAAAACTAAAGTAAAGCATAGTTAAGTAATACATTTTTTTAAGCTATTAACTTGACTTACAGAGATGATGCTTTTATTTCTACAAAATATATTACTGGCATATTTTGCACAGTTTGAACATAAGATAAGATAAGACAAGATAAGATAAGATATCCTTTATTTGTCCCACACTGGGGAAATTTACAGTCTACAGCAGCAAGATTGTGGGTAGAAAGAAGAAGAAAAACAAACATGAACACTATGTTGAAAAATTTGGAAAATAAAATACCGTGCTTAATCATCCATCCATCCATCTATCCATTATCTGAACGAATGTATAAAAAGTCTACTCAAATCAATGTTTGTTATAAAAGATGACGTCGAAATGTGTTGCACTTAAAAGTTAAATACAAATGAACTCTTTATTAAAAACGTTGAAGAGACTGTAACATTCTGCAGAGTTTGAGCATTTAATTCAGTCACCACTAGAGGGAGCCCACGTGCCACTAGTTGTAACCCACTTTGAGAATCACTGTCTCATCCTGTGTCTATCCCAAGATGTCAGCAGAATACTATTTTTGTCTAAATCAGCCACCTCAACTCACTTCAACCAAGTTCCTTAACACCAAAGATGCTACGGAACGACAGCAAAGCAACACTTTTGTTGAAGTGACACCCGCCCTCGCCCACTAGCTTTGATTTATGAATTTTATTTTTGTAATTGTTGATACAATTCTTCCGTCAAATCGCGTTGGTGCACCTAATGTTGCGGCAGGCGAGGGTGGACAACTGCCGTTGTAAATGTATAAAAATTCTACCCAAATAAATGTTTGTTATAAAAGATGACGTGCAAATGTGTTGCACTTAAAAATCAAATACAACTGAACTCTTCTGTATTAAAAACGTTGAAGAGACTGTAACATTCTGCAGAGTTTGAGCATTTAATTGAGTCACCACTAGAGGGAGCCCACGTGCCACGAGTTGTAACCCACTTTGAAAATCACTGTCTCATCCTGTGTTTATCCCAAGATGTCAGCAGAGTACTACTTTTGTCTAAATCAGCCACCTCAACTCACTTCAACCAAGTTCCTTAACACCAAAGATGCTACGGAACGACAGCAAAGCAACACTTTTGTTGAAGTGACACCCGCCCTCGCCCACTAGCTTTGATTTATGAATTTTATTTTTGTAATTGTTGATATAATTCTTCCGTCAAATCGTGTTGGTGTACCTAATGTTGCGGCCAGCGAGGGTGGACAACTGCTGTTGTTTGCTGCCAGGCTGGTCCGTCGCACTCCGTGAAAAGCGCTAGACTCCATTAAAAGCTTTTGGGTGTCGTGGCTAATTCAAGAAATTGCCTCATGAAGCCATTTAGTGGCATTGAATCACATTGGCCGAATAGGATGACCCGCCCCGTACCAAGGCGACATCGTACAAGGTTACTGAAAGTCACGTGACCTCCTCCGGTGCCGTCCTGCCAGGGTCCTTCACTGCATGGTGTCGGTGGCATTCCAGATGACCATCCTGAGGGACCTGGAGAAGCTGGCAGGATGGCTGCGCATCTCCATCATTTACATCGTCAGCGGCATCACCGGCAACCTGGCGTCGGCCATCTTCCTGCCGTACAGAGCCGAGGTGAGCCGCGCACAATGAGAAACGCACGCGAGTGCGTTTTGGTTCACGCTTTGGCGGCAACGGTCATTTTAGTCTATCGCAAGCCAGGTTCTGGAAAAAGGCACACAACCGAAGATGGTAAAGTAGACATGTGGAGTTACTCCAGAATGCCCGGCTTGAAAAATAAGCATAGAATGTTGCATGCGTTCTAAAATGTGACATGTGAGTTACTGTTTCCAATTGATTTTGACAAATTTTGTTTGATTTTTAGATTTTAAAAAGCTGGGTTTTGTGTTTTCTAATTGTGTAAAAAAATTTTTTTTTACACAGTGAGAGAGTGAAATAAATTAACATAAATAAAACATGTCAAATAGGAGTATTGATTTGAATTAGATTTGAATTTTGCTTAATTGAAGTGATTTTTTTTTTCCCCTCTGTATTTTGGTCTTTCTAGTTCTACAAAAAAATGTGTAAAAAGTCTGTTTGTGTGGGTTTGTTTTTTTTTCCATTTAAAACTAACTTAAAAATAATAAAACGGATGAAATGTTCCTAACACTGGATTTTGGGGGAAATATTGTCAACCTCTTATTATTTTACATGAAAAATTCTTAAATTCTCATCAATTTATGTACTGTATTGGGAGCATCCTTGAAAGAAAACAATATGTACCCACCTTTAAAAGTAAATAAATAAAATGGATGGCGCACCATTCTTGAGAGAATGCAAATAAATTGCGAAAGGTAATGTCGCAACCTTTCCTTTCCACGTTTCGCTGCGCAGGTGGGACCGGCGGGCTCTCAGTTCGGCATCCTGGCCTGCTTGTTTGTGGAGTTGTTCCAGAGCTGGCAGATCCTGGCCCAGCCTTGGGTGGCCTTCACCAAGCTGCTGTGCGTGGTGCTCTTCCTGTTCGCCTTCGGCCTGCTGCCGTGGATCGACAACTTTGCCCACTTCAGCGGCTTCGTGTCGGGCTTCTTCCTGTCCTTCGCCTTCCTGCCCTACATCAGCTTCGGCCGCATGGACCTGTACCGCAAGCGCTGCCAGATCATCGTCTTCCTGCTGGTGTTCGTGGGCCTCTTCTCGGGCCTGGTCGTGCTCTTCTACGTCTACCCCATCAAGTGCGAGTGGTGCGAGCTGCTCACCTGCATCCCCTTCACGGACAAATTTTGCGAGAAGTACGACCTCAACGCGCATCTCCACTGAGGCCTCGCGCAAGCCCCGCCCCCTCCCAGCCAATCAGGTCAGAATGGGACTTTTTTGAAACCACTTGAACTCCATTGGCGAGATGCTTTGTGTTTTTCTACTCTGGTCGATATACGAGCAACGTGTCACCTTTGTTTTTAAATCTCTCCCCCCCACCCCCCTTCTGCTCAGCCCACCACCGTGCACTCCTTACGGGGCTCAGTACTTCACCGAGCCAATCGTTGGTATTTGTGTTTCGGTCTTGACGCGGAGATTTTTAACAGGAGGAGGATCAGGACCACATGTGGGGAAACAAAATGTGATTTAGCACTCAAATTGTTGCTTTTTTTTTAGGTTTAAAACAAAGCCCTATGAATTAGAATTGTGACTTCGATTCCCTATTTTGTTTTAGATTCAATTATTTGAAGCCCCTTTATGTTCACAACAGCACTTAAAAAAAAAAAAAATGAAAGCAGATTGACTTGTAATATCACTTCCAATGGTGGAATTGTAAGCTTTTGTTGTCGACTGTACGAGACCATTAAAAAAAAAAAAAAAAAGAAAGAAAGAAAATCACACATTTGGCGGATGTAACAGTACAGTTACGAGACAAACTTTATCCATATCACAATTCCCACCTAAAACATTTTTATCATTTTGGACATATTTGTGCTAGCGCTTGACCAAAAAAAAAAAAAAAAACACCGTCAAAATGAATAATTGCAAATTTTGAAATATTAGTTCATACGATAGTTTTCTAACTTCCAATGCACTATTTTAGCGTCACAGTTACGAGGTAAGACACCACATTGGAGCACTTTTTCATGAATTACAAAAACTTAATTTGCACTTGTTAACTATTAAAAAATTTGTATCGTTGCTATTGGGCGGAAACCTCCTACTGCATGTCCAAATTTGGTCAATTTCATATTTTTTTTCCCACAAGTGGCTACTATCGAGCCGTTCCCACGTGGGTTTGCTGTTTTTACAAATTATTGACCAACCAAAACGATTCAATGTTAATGACTCAACAGGCTGCCTAATGTTTTTTTTTGGGGGGTTGGGGGGAGATGCGAGGATTCTGCCCTTCGCCAGCGATTCTGTTTGGATAAATGCATTTCACATATCTGTTCCTACCGAAAACACCTTTTCATCCATTCAGAATTCTTATCATTCCAACTCTATAAACACATCGCTGTGACTCAGTGAAAGAATCTTCGACAAGAGTACTCACCAATTTAAAATTCATGCCTGATCTTATTAAAAAAAAAAAGGTTTTATACTTTTTCACGTTTGGACATTACACTTGCACGCGATGGTGTCATGACTTAATACGACAACAAAACTGCAACCTTTTGGAAACCTTCAACCCAATTTGAATGTTCATGATCATTTTTTTCCCCCCACACTTGGTTCTTATCCTTTTCCACAGAACTCATTCAGGCAATCTCAAACCGAAAGCAGGGACAAGCCGCAACAAATAGAAATCCAATATCAAAACCTTCGGTGCCTTGTTTGAAAGAGAAATGTACCAACTACTACTGCCATAATTTTTTTTTTTGTTTTTTTGTTAACATTATGCTGAGCACTCAAATGTTTTCCTTTTCCTTGTATGTTGTTTTATTGCTTCCTCAGAAGTGATGTTCGTCTTGAAAATGGCAGCGTTTTAGCTGCCCGTCTACTCACATGTAACTGAAAAAAACAGTAAAAAGATATAATTAAAAAAAAGATAAAAATAATCACCGTGTGTGTGTGTTGATCTTTTATTATTCATTCACACGGAGATTCTGCAAAACTGCCATCGTAAATAACAAGACGCAGCATTTATCCGGCTCTGCCTTTTTCCATAAATTCAGCAAAGGGCAAAAATTGCCGCGACAATCCGATTTTACACAGACGGCGTCAGTCGTAGAGGAAGTCCCGGTGTCAAAGCAGTTTGCCTTTTACACAGAACTCAGCAAAAGTCGTACATTTGACACTACTATGCCTTATCAGACAGCGTTGTGACTGAAAACCTGATGGAAAGAAATTTCTGTGACGGAGTTGTCACCAATGGCTCGGCGTTAACATGGCGTTGCTTTTCACACAGAATTCAGCATCGGGTGGATATCGCTGTGTCTGTGAGTACGTTTACACAGAAACTCCATCCAACTCGTAACCCAGTCGACTCGGCATTAATGCAGCTTTGCCTTTTACGCGGAACCCAACAAATAAGGGACATTGTCATAATGTGTGGAATTTCACACGGACACCATCAGCGTTGTAGTCGGAGACATGGCATTCAGTTGCACAGAACCCACTGAAGAGTGGATATTGCAGTAGCTGTGCTCAATGTCACAGAGTCTGGATCTTGCATGAACACAGCTTTCTTTGCCTTTTGTACAAAACCCAGCAAAGGAATGATGTTGCAATGTTGATTTCACACAGACTGCATCAAAGTTGAAACAGAAGACCCGACTTAAATTTGGCTTTTCCATTTGCAATTTTACACTGTGATTATATCAGTCATGGCTGAAGATCCAACATTAGTGTGGCTTAGCCTTTTGCACAGAACCCAGCAAAGGGAGGAAAATCAAAGGAAGTGAGCGGTTTTTAAAGTCTGATGGGACAAATTGCACGGCAAATGCCATCCAGCAGGTGTAAAAGTGCATTTAAGGCAGTTTTCCTATGAATGAGGGGGGGGTGTCATTCAGGTGGGCGGGACTAGCAGCCGCTATTCCGCCGGGCGTACGCCTGCCCGCCCAGCAAATACTCCATCTCCTGAAAGCGCATGTTGGACACGCTGATTGCCGACGGGCCTTTCTCCTTGAAGCCGGCCTTACGGTAGAAGGGCACCAGGAAGTCCTCGCAGACCAGCAGGGCCCGGCGGGGGCGCGGCAAGCAGCGCAGGTACTGCAGGTAGCGCCACAGCAGGATGGAGCCTTTGCCCTGCTGCCGGCAGTGGCGGTGCACCGACAGCACGTGGATGTGCACCGTTGTTGTGTTGGGCACGTGTAGCGTCATGGCCTCCTGTGGGACACCCACAAAAAAATATATATATTTTTTTTTAAATCAGGATCATTCTAATTAAAAATAGCTGCTGCAGCAATTCAAAGTCGCTTTCTACAGCGACATCACCTGCACCACATTGCTGACTCTGTGGCGCATTCTGACCTGCGAAAGCCTCTCCTTGTCCCAGCCCGTGCCGATGATGAAGGCGACCAACTGGCCCTCCTCGAACCAGCCCAGCGACAGCTCCGGGCATTGATCCACAAAATGCAGCACCTCTTCCAGGGTCAAAGGACACTCGCCGGACACCGAGATGAAAGCTGGAGCGGAGAGAGGATTATGCGCAGGTCACGGTGGGTAAATTTTTGCACCATTCGTAAATCATTGTCATCAACCCTTCCGTGCACCCTGTAACCCACAGGTGTCAAACTCAAGGCCCGGGGGCCAGATCTGGCCCGTCACATCATTTTAGGTGCCCGCGAAAGCAAATCAAACATGGCAACTTGCCAAAATATGTACCAAAATTTCTAATTCTCATAAGTAATAAATAAAAGAGATATTGTCAGCATTTTCTTGTTGCCCAACCACCCATGACAGTAACTTAAACAATAGTTGAATAAACCGTTATTATTGACTTTTTTTAACATGGTTTCAGTCGTAACGGCCCTCCAAGGGAAATGGGGACTAAAATGTGGCCCGCGGCGAAAATGAGTTTGACATCCCTTCTGTAACCTGATAACATGGTAAGCTGTTCACTTTAATGACCGCTGTCCCCGAAAGGGTTAATAATTAGTTTGGGGTTTTTTGGAACTACTAAACAATAAGCACCATCATGAAATGTCATCCTGACTGTTTTAGCAAATATGATCAAATGTTGATTTTTTTTTTTGTCATTGAAAATTTCAACAGTAATAATGGATAGAATGCCGACCTTCTCTCTCGATCTCGAACACGCTGATGGCATCCTGAGGCGTGAGGTTCCTGAACTCGCTGGCGGGCAGCGTGTGTCGCCTCTGCCGCAGCGGGCTGACCACCCGCATTGGCGTCTTCAGGAAGAAGGGCTTGAGGAAGGGCGACGAGACGCTCGGGTGCTGGCTCATGATGCCGACTGGACTCGCAAGGACAAAAATGTTGGGCTCGTTGGGTCTCTCGCTGGAGTGCGCTTGTGAGCTGAGGGAGGATGACGACGACGTGTGTTTGCGTAAGTCGCTGCCGGCAACGTGACACCTGCTCGTTTTCTGTCTCGTAATCCCGCCCCGTGACGGGCATTTGCTGGGTGCATCCGGCCTAAACACTTTTTACAGTACCACTTTGACAAATGGGAGATGTTACAAAAGTGTTATGTACGTGGATGTGTAATTCCTGCAGAAATTGCAACTCAATGTTGATACGCTGTATGTAAAAATATGGAAGCGTGTTTTTGTCTATTTATTTTGGCCATCTTTTCATGGGGGTTTGGAGCCTTTACCATCTTAAACACCTTGGACGGACACTATTGGTTTCTTGGATCATAGGTTGCCAGAACAAGCCATGTTGCTGTCTCTTGTGATTTTGGCGTTGATTTTTGGTAGATTAATGGTTTATTTTTCATTGAATTGTGTTTGTTTTGTCAGTGAATTTTTGGTGGTTTTTCTTGATTTTTTTTTTTTTCACAGAATTTTATTTCTTTCTTTCCACTGATTTTTGGTTGATTTTACAGTCGTTCTTGCTGATTTTTCATAAATATTGATTTTTTTATATTGTTTTGGGGGCTGGTTTTTAATTGACTTTGGTTGATTTTGTTGATTTTTCTTGATATTTTTTACATTCGATTTTCAGTTGATTTGTTTTTTTCCTCTTGATATATGGTTGATTTTTCCTTGTTTTCGAAAGTGATTTTTGATTTATATATTTTGATTGTTTTTTGGTTGATTTTTGATAGATTTTTTTTCATAAATGTAATTAATTATTGATTCATTTATGGTTGATTTTTGTTGATTTTTTTTCATTCATTTTTGTATGGGTTTTTTTTTTTTGGTTGACGTTTCATTGACTTTTGAATATTTGTTGATTTTATTATTTTATTTAAATGTTTATTAACTTTTGATTTATTTTGATTAGCGTTTGGATTTGGATTTTGTCGACCGTGAAGAGATACGTGAGGAAGAAACCCAGTGACAAAACATTTGAGCCAATTACAAATTGCACTCTCCTTGAGCGCTGACTTGCTTGGCTTGCGAAAGAAGCAGACTAGTGTTTTTTTTTTTATTTATTGTTTTTTTTTAACTTGGTTTATTTTGAGGCAACACGGCATTCTTTGTAAACACTGCACCTGCGATGTTCTTCTTCGTCTCTTCTCAACGCTCCCCACGTGTGCGGCTTCCCGATAGCATGTTGCTCTTTGAAAAAAGAACTCATCTGGATGTTCGAGCATGATTTTCGAGTGAGTGTCTTGAGTGTTGTTACGGGCGGTGCACACGTTTTTGGGAGATCAAGGCCACGAGAAGCTCATGGAATCGCACGCTCGGAGATCTGCTTGGCTTGCTGTCTGTCTGATTTGACCCCCTTAAAGAGGTTTAAAGACACGCTAATGAAATGGAGCTCAGCGTGCTTACATTAGGACCCCATCAGGGCTTCAAGGGGGGACACCTCACACGTGCCAAATGCCCTCATGTGGTAAAAGGGCGGTCAAAATATTAGGAACAACTCACTCAGAAGGTTGGAGACGCCAAGAATGCTGATAAGAATGAATTTGCATTGACAAAATGGAAGCACATATTTTAATTTGAGGATTTGGGCCATTGCACGGAATCTGTGAAATTTGCTGCTGTGTTAAATTGTTTATTTTGTTGATTTCCAAAATATCTTTTTTTTTTTTTTTTTTTGGACTCACTATGCTTTGACTTCACGGTATATCAACATGTCATTATTTTATATTCCTGGTGGCTCGATCTCATCTTTTTGTTAATTCGGTGGTAAAATCTCACTCCTGCTACTTTTAGTCCTGTTAAACAAATTAGACAAATGACAACAATAAAACTGGCTTAAAAATTAACTTGAATGGGCCAGTACACATTTTGAAGGATTTAATATTTGTATTTTTGATTAAAAAAGAAAAAAAAAAGGCACAACATTCAAATTTGGTGAAATGACCCATAGCCAAAATAAAGATAAATATATTAAGAATGTGCTCCACCTTAAATCCTTCTCTGTGTCTTCATAACTTGTCTGTCGGTCTGCTTACGTGGAGCCCAAAACAGGTGACAACGCAACACTTGACCATGGAGGATTAGCTTTCATGTGGTTTAATGTCAACCCAGCATGCAGCAGCTGCAGGCAGCCAATCACGCTCCAGAGAGAGGAGGTGACCTTCTGTTGTGCAGAGGTGGCACCACGTGTAGGAAGAAGGCCGCTTAGAGAAAAAAAAAAAAGGATCAATTAAGAACACTCAGTATTTGAACCCTTTTATGCATGACCTCCATGGTAATCGAATGGTGAGTGCGTCGGCATTGCGTTGCAGAGGTGCAGAGTGCGATTCCAGCTCCAGACTTCCTGTGTGTTCTCAAAAACATACATGGCTATCCATTTTCTGATCCCCCCCCCTGCTCCCAACCCAATTATTTGCGCTCATACTCACACCGAGGGCCAAGATAGATTGTTGATTCCATGCTTGGTAGTCGAATGGTTAGTTTGTTGGTCCCGCGCTGCGGAGGTGCAGAGTTCAATTCCGGCCTTCCTGTGTGTTCTCAAAAATGTGCGTGGCCATCCATTTTCTGATCCTCTTCTCCGCACAACTATTTGCGCTCACACTCACACCAAGGAACATTTCACAAAATGACTGAGTATACATGGTCGTTTTTTTCGGCCCAAAACGCCTTACTATACACGGTCGTTTTTTTCAGCCCAAAACGCCTTATGATACATGGTCGTTTTTTCCAGGTTAAAACGCCTTACTATACATGGTCGTTTTTTTCGACTAAAAACGGCTTACTATACATGGTCGTTTTTTTCGGCCCAAAACGCCTTACTACACATGGTCATTTTTTTCGACTAAAAACGCCTTACATGGTCGTTTTGTTCAACCCAAAACGCCTTACTATACATGGTCGTTTTTTTCAGCCCAAAACGCCTTACTATACATGATCGTTTTTTTCGACTAAAAACGCCTTACATGGTCGTTTTGTTCAACCCAAAACGCCTTACTATACATGGTCGTTTTTTTCAGCCCAAAACGCCTTACTATACATGATCGTTTTTTTCGACTAAAAACGCCTTACTATACATGGTCGTTTTGTTCAGCCCAAAACGCCTTACTATACATGTTCGTTTTTTTGGGCTAAAAATGCCTTACGATACATGGTCGTTTTTTTCAGCCCAAAACGCCTTACTATACATGGTCGTTTTTTTCAGCCCAAAACGCCTTACTATACATGGTCGTTTT